ATGAGCTTCGTGGCTGAACATTAGAGAAGAGAGAAAATATTTCTGTCCCACAAATTGTGCTGCTGTACCATACCCACCAAAACGTGCCTCTTATATCACCCTGGAGGAGCGGATTCTGAGAAATCTTAGATTATATAACTCATTTCTTGTTTCGTCTCAATGTTAGCTGGCTTTCCAACGCTGTGAGTGAAAAGTGGTGTGCGGGCCGTAGGGTTTAACAGGAGAAGAGAGAGAGAGAGAGAGAGAGAGAGAGAGAGAGAGAGAGAGAGAGAGAGAGAGAGAGAGAGAAGAGAGAGAGAGAGAGAGAGAGAGAGAGAGAGAGAGAGAAGAGAGATAGAGATAGATAGATAGATAGATAGATAGATAAATAGATAGAGAGAGAGAGAGAGAGAGAGAGAGAGAGAGAGAGAGAGAGAGAGAGAGAATGTGTGCAGGGCATTTTTTTTCATATATGTGTATTATTATTTAATTATGTTCTCCTTTTCATATTCATTATCCATGTTTTCTTATTCTTTCTTTCTTTCTCTCTTTAGTCACACTTGATTTATTTACATTTCTCTTCATTCATCTCTTCTTTCCCCTACCCTTTCCTTCTCTTCTCTTCTCTGTCTCTTTCTTTCCGTTTCCCCATCATCTGCCCTCTCTTGCTCTCCCTCTTTCGCTAATTAACTTTTTCCCCACTTCTTTATCTTCTCCCTCTCTTCATCCCCTTTCTATATCGATTCTCTCGCTACCTCTCTTCTTTTCCTCCCACCTCTCCCTTTCTCCTTTCCTTCCACCTCTTCCTCTCTCCTTCTCTTTCACCCTTCTTATCTTCCCACACCCCATCTCTCTCTTCCTTTCTTTCTCTCTCCATCCTCTCTCCCTCTCCTTACTTATTCTTCTCTCCTGTCCCTTCTCCCCTCATCTTTTTTTATCTCTCTCCCCTCCTTCTATCCTATCTCCTCTCCTTCTCTCTTCTTTTTCCTTTCTCCTCACCGCTCACTCCTCCTTTCCCCTCACCGCTCTCCCCCTCACTCTCCTCCCGCTCTGTTCTCTCTCTCCTCTCTTTCTTCCCTCTCCCCTCTCTCCTCATCTCTCTCTCTCCTCTCCCCTTCTTCCCCTCTCCTTCACCGCTCTCTCCTCTCCTCCTCTCTCTCTCCTCTCCTCTCCTTTCTCTTTCTCCTTCTCCCCTCTCTTCTTTCCCTTTCCCCTCTCTCCTCTCTTCTCTCCAGTCTTCCCCATCTCTCCCCTCGCCGCTCTCTCCTCTCCCTCCTCTCGCCTCTCCTCTCTTTCTCCCCTCTGTCCTTTCTCCTCTCCTTCTCCCCTCTCTCCTCTCTTTCTTCTCCCCTTCTCCCTTCACCGCCTCTCTCCTCTCCCTCCTCTCTTTCTCCCCTCTTACTCTCTCCTTTCTCCTCTCCTTCTCCCCTCTGTCCTTTCTCCTCTCCTTCTCCCCTCTGTCCTTTCTCCTCTCCTTCTCCCCTCTCTCCTCTCCTTTCCTTCTCCCCTCTCTCCTCTCTTCCCTTCAGTCTTTTCCATCTCTCCCCTCGCCGCTGCCTCCTCTCCCTCCTCTCGCCTCTCCTCTCTTTCTCCCCTCTGTCCTTTCTCCTCTCCTTCTCCCCTCTTTCGGTCGATACTTTAAACCCCATTTTTCTTTGTTTTCCCTCCGCTGATTCTTCGCTTTTGGTCATACCAATTTTGTCCTTTTCTCTTTCCATTAGACCGTACATGCTCCGTTTGTTTTTCTCCTGTTGCTCTCTCTCTCTCCTTCGGTTTGTTTCCCTATTTCTTTTTTTTTCCTTCTTTTCTTCTTTTTTGATTTGTTTTGTTTTGTTTGTTTTTTCTGTTTGGATTTTTTCCTATTTACTTGTCTTTCTTCCTGTGTGTTTTTTTTTTTTCTTTCTTTTCATTTCATTTCTATGGCTCTTCCTATTTCATTTTGTTTTCTCTATCTCTTTCTCCTAGTCTTACTCTTCTCTTTCTTCCTCTTTCATCTCCCGGTCGCCACAACTCCCTCTCCCTATCACCTACTCCCTTTGCTTCATTCTCCTCACTCCATCACCTACTTCCCTCTCCCCTTCTCCCCATCATCCCACTCCCTCTTCCCCTCTCCCATCCCTCCTTCATCCCCACCCTCTCCCCGTCCCTTCATTCCCCTTCCCTCATCCCCTACCTCTTCCCCTCTCCCCATTCTGCTCATTCCCCCTCTCCCATCTGCTTCATTCCCCTCCCTCCTTCACTCCCCTTCCCCTCTCCCCATCCCTCATTCCCCTCCTACCTTCACCCCCTCCCTTATTCCTTCTCTCCCTCTCCCTCTCCCCATCACCCATGTTAGCACCCCGTATATCTGACAACGAGGGCGCTATGGGGAGTTTATGCCCCCTCTTGGGACCCAAACTGACAGCATGACCGGGATACTCAGCATGACCTATGTTGACCCTCATGCCTGCTTATGATACTGGATGAGATTGTTGGGTGTCCGTAGGGAGGGGGGAGGGGGGGAGGGGGGGGAGGGGGTCAGGGGATTGGGGTGGGTGGGGAGGTTGAGAGGAGGTGGGGAGGTGTGAAAAGGGTTTTGAATGTTTTGCTCTCTCTCTTTTTCTTTCCTTTTATCTGTCTCTCTGTGTCTGTCTGTCTTTTGGTCTCTGTCACTCTCTGTTTCTTATCTCTGTCTGCGTCTCTCTCTCTTTCTCTCCCTTGTATTCTATCTCTGTCTCCGTCTCTCTCTTTCTCTCCCCTTGTCTCTTATCTCTATCTCAATCTCTCTCTTTCTCTCCCCTTGTCTCTTATCTCTATCTCCGTCTCTCTCTCTTTCCCCTCCCCCTCTCCCTCTCTCTCACGCATAAACCACAAAATAAGAATTCTAAAGTTCGAAAACAGAAAAGAAAGGGAAAAAGAAGAAAAAAAAACTGAATGCATTAAAACTAATCTCTGTGTCACCATACAACACAGATCATTAGCATAAAGGAATGGAGTTCGGAATTAAATGCTATAATTATCATAGTAATTCCATCACGCCTTGGATGGCATTTAATACCTACCTTCGTATGCTGTGGTGAAATGGTGGTGAAATGGTGGTGAAATGGTGGTGGTGGTGGTGGTGGTGGTGGTGAAGTGGTGGTGAAAGTGGTATGGTGGTGAAGTGGTGGTGAAAGTGGTGGTGAAAGGTGGTGGTGAAGTGGTGGTTGAATGGTGGTGTGGTGTGAAATGGTGGTGTGGTGGTGTGGTGAAATGGTGGTGAAATGGTGGTGATGATGTGGTGGTGGTGTGAAATGGTGGTGAAATGGTGGTGAAATGGTGGTGAAGTGGTGGTGAAATGGTGGTGAAATGGTGGTGAAATGGTGGTGGTGGTGGTGGTGAAGTGGTGGTGAAATGGTGGTGAAGTGGGTGGTGAATGGTGGTGAAAGTGGTGGTGTGGTAGTGGTGGAATGATAGCAGTGATGATAAAGATGGCGTTAAAAAAAAATAATGACAGTTCTTATGATAATGATGTTTATATGTAGATGAGCCTTAATGCCTAACTATTTATACTTAATTAGGTAATTAGCTTGGGAAAAAATTTAGTTAAACGAAAATAGAAAATTTGCAAAAAAAAAAAAAAAAGGATAATTTCAGGGAAAATTTATAGATTCTTGTTCTTAAGGTAGAAAAGATAAGGTAATGTAGATGATTTATAATTTGATAGGTTTCTGCGCAAAAAAAAAGTAATTAAATACTTTAGCTAGTCCTTGTACTTACACATTAACAATGACATATGGCGATTTTTAATTCTGTTTTGTTGTGTTTATGACTTTATTGATTATTTTTTTTTTATATTTTACATCTTTAATAGCAAGTGATATGAATTCTATTTTTTTGTTTTATCTTTCATTTCTTATATTTGCATATCTTTTTATTTATTCATCTTTTTCATCTCTCTTTATCCCCCCTTTTCCTCTTTCCCTCTTTCCCTCTCTCCCTTTTTCCACCATCCTCTTTTCTCCCTCTTTTCCCCTCTCTCTCCCTCTTTTCCTCTCTCTCACTCTCTCCCTCTCTTCCTCTTTTCCCTCTCTCCCCTCTCCCTCTTTTCTCTCCTTTCCCTCTCCCCTCTCTTTTCCCTCTCTCCCTCTCCTTTCATACATCTTTTTTTTCTCATTTCTATCTGTGTGTGTGACTAAGTCGTGTATTTCGTGCTGTTATGTGGCTTTCCGTCTGTTTTTTGCCGTCAGTCAGAAGAGCGAAAGGTCAGCTTATCGGCCTTTTGAAAATACCAAAAGTTGGAGAAGGAGAGAAGAAGAAGAAGAAAGGGGAGGAGGGGAGAATAGAGGAGGAGGCGGAGAAGGATGGAGGTGGAAAGGGAGGAAGGGGGAAGGAGGAGGAGGAGGAGATGGAGGGAGAAAAAAGGAGGAAGAAGAAAAAAGAGGAAGGGAGGAGAGGAGAGGAAGGGAAGGAGGAGGAGGAAGAGGAGTAAAGAGAAGGAGAAGAAAAGGAGAGGAAAAAGGAGGAAAAGAAGGAAGAGGAGGAAGAGGAAGAGTGGAGGATGATGAGAAGGATGGGGATGAGTGACGTGGAAGCGGAATAAGAACAAGAAAGGAAAAAGAAGAAGGATAACCAAACAAGGAAGGTGGGAGAAGGGAATGATGAAAGGGCAAAAAGAAGAAGAAAAGAGACGAAAAGAAACGAAAAGTAAAACGAACAAAGACTAAAACCCCCATAATAATAATTATTATTATTATTTTGCTTTTCCCTTTTTCTTTTCTTTTCATTTCTCTTTTTTTGCATTTTATTTATTCATTCTTTTGCCGGATTAACTGCCCCTTTTCTTTCGTTTCTTCCTCATCAAAGTGTCAACGAGAAACGGAGAACCAGATATCGAAAAAAGATAAAGGAGAATGACAAGGAAAAGATAATGAAGTGCCCAAGATAATGAAAAAAGATAAAAAAAAAGATAAGATAATACAAGATAAAGTACCCAAGATAATAAGATAAAAGATAAGATAATACAAAACGACGAACAAGAATAAGATATAATCAGTACTTACTTTGACAGGTTTTCTTCCTCCAAATGCTTCAGCTTCTTCTTCCTCTTCTCGTCTCTCCTGTCTTCTCTTTTCTTCTTCTTGTCCTCCATGTCCGGGTTTGTGTGGCAGTCGACCTCTTCCACCAAGAGTTGTTGTTGTAGCTGTTGTTGCTGTAGTTGCTGTGCTTGGAGTTGCGACTGTTGCAGCTGTATTTGTTGCTGCGGTGGTGAAGGTTGTAGCTGTATCAGCTGTTGTTGCTGTGGAGGCTGCAGTTGATGTTGCTGCAGTTGGTGTTGTTGTTGCTGTTGATGCTGCTGCTGCTGCTGTTGTTGCTGGTGATGGTGCTGCTGCAGCTGCTGGTTCACATCCAGATCTTGTACTTGGGCGTCGACCTCGAGGGGCCGGATGTTGTTTTGTACGGAGGTGCCGGTCGTCGCGTCTTCCTTCGCCGCCATCTTGTGTTTTAGCTTGACCTTGGCCTTCTTCTCGCGGCGCTCCTCCTCGTGGGTGGTCTCGCTCTTCACCATGGGCTCCAGCAGCGTCTGGCCCTCGGAGACGTACTCGCCCTCCAGCTTCAGGCGGTTCTCCTGGCTCCACTTGAGCTCGGGGTCCTCCTTCAGGTCCTTCAGGTGGTTGTTGTTCTTCGGGGACTTCTCGGAGGCGGGCAGCAGCAGCGGCGGCAGCGGCAGCAGCAGCAGCAGCGGCCCTGCTGGAGTTCCTACCGGAGCGACGGCTGTCCCTCGTCTTGGGGGCGTGGCGCGGGGGGTCGACGCCCCCCTCGTGGCCCTCGCTGACGGCCTCCTGGTAGCGCGTGGTGCGTCGCGGCGCCGAGGCCACGGGGTCGCTGCCGAAGCGGTCGCACTCGCCGTTGGTGGCCTCCCGGGACCCGGCTCCTGCGGGCGAGAGGGGGCGGTCAGGGGCGGTCAGGGCGAGAGGGGGCTTCAGGGGGCGGTCGGTCAGGGGGCGGTCAGGGGGTCAGGGCGAGAGGGGGCGGTCGGGGGGTGGCAGGGGCGGGGGGAGGTCGGGTGGGCAGGGTCGGTCGGTCAGGTCAGGGGGCGGTCAGGGGGAGGTCAGGGTTGGGGTGGGTGGGGGTGGTGGGGGGGTTGCGAGGTTAAGCATCAGGTAGGTTATTTATTACTTAATTATCTACGTTTTCCATTGGCTACTTTTTATCATTTTTTTCTATTTGTTGATAATTACTCATAATTATTAATATATATTAATGATAAGATTAATATTTTCGTTGGTTATTTAATTACTTTTCTATTGGCTATTGTGCAATGATTACTATTATATTATCATTATTATTATCATTACTGTTATTATTTTTTTTATTACTATTTTTACTATTATATCATTACCATTATCATTATCTAACTACTAATAGTATCAGTGTTATCATTATCATAATAATGATTTAGTGTCATCGTTACTATTATAGTAATTAATATCATTATCATTATCATTATTTGAAGATGATCCACGCCTCGATCGTTGAATTGAAATGAGTTGCAATATTTTCGTGGAGATGCAACACAAATCACGCTTTAAACCTTTACCTTGAAAAATAGTAACATCAACACTAGCAACAATAACAACAAAAACAATGACATCCACAGCAACAACAACAACAATGACATTAACAATGACACAAAAAAATGTCAACAACAAAAAATGTCAAACAACAATGTAACAATAACAACAACAAAAATGTCAACAACAACAATGTCAACAACAACAACAACAACAACAATGTCAACAACAACATTCAACACAACAAACAACAACAACAATGTCAACAACCAACAATGTCAACAACAACAATGTCAACAACAACAATGTCAACAACAACAATGTCAACAACAACAATGTCAACAACAACAATGTCAACAACAACAATGTCAGCAACAAAACAACAAGGTAAAACAATGACAACCAACAATAAAAACAGCAACAACAACAATATCAAAAAAACAACAACTGATTTCAAATTCTAAAAAAAAAAGAAAAAAAAAAAAAACTCTCCTCGCTGTCTACGCTTCCAACAGTGCGCTTCACGATCGTCATTTTTTTTTTTTTTTTTTTTTGCGCTTCACGATCGTCATTTTTTTTTTTTTTTTTTTGCGCTTCACGATCGTCATTTTTTCACGATCGTTTTTTTTTTTTTTTTTTTGTCGAAAAGCGAGCCAAAACATCGATCATTCTCTCTCTGGCGAATGCGGAATACGAGCCTAAAAGTATATCTCGGTTTCCCTCCATTTTTTTTTGTTTTTGTTTTTCCTTTTGCGTTTTTTTTTTGTTTTGTTTTGTTTTCTTATTGTTTTGTCTATTTTTACCGTTTTATTTTTTTTGGGGGGGGGGGGTGGGGGGGGGGGGGGGTTAGCTTAGTTTGTTTCATATTTTTTTCTTCCATTATTTTTATCATTCTTTATTTGTTATTATTATCATTATTATCATTATTTCTTTATATGACATGATAAGGGGTATGATAAGGATACCATCTTATCAGTGACAGTGATAA